ATCTTCAGTCAGCCATGTAGTTTGGGGAGAAATGATTCTGTTCCAGGATTAGGAGTTGATTGGCTTAAGTTAGTCAGTGTAAATCATGCCCTTGGCCATGGAGGATGGTTCATGTAAGGACACAAACATTTTTTTTTAAAGGCAGTATGTTCAATGACACCCTTCACTCAAAAACTTCACTTTCAGGGGTAGACTTAACTATATGTAGCATCGGGTGTCTTTCAGTGTATCAGATAAACACAGTGATAGTGCAAAATTCTAGTTGGAATTATTAAAGGGCACAATGCATGTGATTCAGGAAAAGAAGAGAGGGATTCTGACCTGTTCTGGGAGCAGAAAAGAAAAGAAGGGAACCTATTGTAGCCTGAACAGAAGTTATGTTCAGAGTAAAAGCCAGTGAAATAAGAAATGGCATACAAAAGCAAATTTATTGGCGTTTAGGAAACATTGTCTATTTCATTCATACTTTTAAAATCCTAGTTATATTGTACATTATAAAGAATGCTGGGCTATCAATTATTAGAAAAACCTAAGTCAAGAAAAACCCCATCACCAAAGGTCATTGTGTGTTTTTCATTCATACAACCTCACGTCATAAGACTTGAAATGAAAGACTGAGATGGAATGAAGGTAATCGCTAAAGAACTCAAAGGAAGGAAGGAATCTACTGCTATCAGAATAGGTACATCCAATTTTGCCTGTTCAAAACCATATCAGAGCTGGGCATGGTGGTGCATGCCTGTAATCCCAGCAGCTCCGGAGACTAAGGCAGGAGGATTGCAAGTTCAAAGCCAATCTCAGCCACTTAGCAAAGCCTAGGCAACTTAGTGAGACCCTGTCTCAAATAAATAAATAAATAAATAAATAAAATAGGCTGGGGATGTTGCTCAGTGGTTAAGCATTCCTAGGTTCAATCCCTGATACGAAATATATACATATATCTCAAAAGCTTAAAGATATGACCACACTCTTATGGTGTTTAAATTAAAAACAGATGAATAAAAATTCATGGATGGTTGTCCTCTTACCCAGTGATCAAAAGTGCTTGAACCAGTAAGATATACTTGTAGGCTGCAGGTAAAAGACAGGCTGATGGAGTTTGGGACCTCAAGGATCATTTTAAAGAAAGATATCTATGAGCCAAATACTTGAGTTTGCCTATAACCCATGGCTTTAAATTGGCATGCACAGAGACTTCAGATCTGCATGCAGTGGCAAACAAGGCTTTCATTTAGACCCTATACATTTAGCATGGTGCCTATAATATTTTGTCTACTAGAAAAGCTGGCAGGTTGCCATTATTTTATATGGTACCCTCTGAAACACTGAATATCAGTTTTGATCCTTGTTAATGTGAATAGGTAGATACAAATATTTGAAGTACCTTCTGAGAGTATCTATAATGAAGTAGAAAAAACACTAATAAAGCAGCCTAGAAAATCTGTAGATAGAGTAGAATAAGACCAAGGAATGGTAAGACATAGATACAAATGCCATAACATATGGATCCACCCCAGTTCCTACAATCATCTGCAAATTTGGCTTTGAGTCTCCTGCTAGCCAAAGCACAAAGAGTAACAGGGACACTTAACACAATGTTTCACATTGTCAAGAAGGAATAGGGATATCTGTGTTTTTTTTATGAGGGAGGGATTTCCACATACAAATATAACTAATTAGTTTTGTAAGCATCTAAACTACCATTAGAACAATTATTTTCCTTAATATGGCACATAATACTTTGTGGAGTAATTTCACATACTTTATTTAATTTGCACCAAAAAATCCCTGTGATATAAGATTTGAATACAGTATTATTAAAGCAACAGGTATCTCTCACTCATGAATCTAGGAACCTTGTCTATCTGGGAACCCAGAACAATGAATAGAAAATAAGCAGAATGATCTCTGAGTTAGCAAACCAAATGGCAAGTTTATGCATGGAAGCGAACCTCTCATTTGGGACCTATATTCTCTTATATAACCTAAAATTCTAACAAGGTTAGCTAATTTCCCCTTTAAAACTACAGTGGTTTAAAAGTATTAAAATAGAAACTATTATAGAGAAACTATTACAAATGCATCCCCAAAATGGCTAGGTATGAAAGTAGAGGTGAGAACTAAAACAAAGGAGCTGTTGTAGGGACAAACAAGGCAAGGCACCAAAGATAGCAGAAAACAGGTTTGGTTTTTTTTTTATTTTTTTTTAATTTTTTGGCTGCAGCCAGGTTCAGAGGGAACAGCTTTTGCTGTTCCAATTAATCCCACGAACCCCGAGTTCAGGGAGTTTCAGAGTTTTATACCCAGCATGTAAGGGGAGGGGCTCAGAAGTTCACAGTCTACAGAAGTTCACATAAAAGCAGCTTTTTCTTTCTCTGTTTTGGGCAAGTTAACCCTTCAAGGACAACACCTGAGAAGGGGAGAGTTTCTTCTCCCCTTTCTTTCCTCCCCTGCCAGCTGTTACCATGGAACCCATTTGTAACATCTTAAAAATGTAGACATCTCTGTGAAGCCCAGCTCAAGGCCAGAGCCTTGTTTGCACATTTCTTCAAAGTACTATACTGGATATGTTTGTGAAAAACTAGTAAGGGGGTGTCCAGCACCTGGAGTGCTGGTATCTTCTTGGCCAGTGGCCAAGTAAACAGGGCAACACGAAAATAGGAAGTTTATCTACATTGAACTCTTTTGCAGAGACTCTTTTGCTGACAGTCCTAAAATCAGTCTGGGTGAAGATTTCTGGAGAGGCCCAGTTAAGACTTTTCAGTGGAAAAAGGGGGTGCCACTTCAGAGCAGTTAGTATAGACTCAGAAAACCCTGCCAAGTACACTAAGTAGAGAATGCAATCATGACTCAGTTTCCCCACCCTGGACCTTGAACCTCCACTAACCAGCTCTTCACATAATTACCTCTGCAATCTTTCAGGAACAAAAATGTGATCCTGTTTTCCCACTCCCAATTTTTAAAATCCTTCAGTGGCTTTCTAGGCTAATGAGATAAAAATCCTATTTAAAAGGGACCACAGGGCTGGGGTTGTGGYTCAGTGGTAGAACTCTCGCCTAGCATGTGCAAGGTGCTGGATTCGATCTTCAGCACCACATAAAGATAAATAAATAAGATAAAATAAAAGGGACCATAAGGTCCCAGCAGGTCTGGTAGCTGCCTGCTTCACCTCCCTCCTCTTACTTGGGTCCCACCTGCTTGCACCTTTTCACATTTCCTTCCCTCTTCCTGGAAATGTCTCACTGCTACCTCTCCTGTGCAACCCCAAATGTCATCATATTAGAAAATCTTACCTACTATTGGTGTCTAGATTAGGTTTACCTGTGCATCTTTAGCAATTAGATTGGAGAATATGCTAAACTATACAGTTGCTCCTAACTAGTTTCATTCTTTGATGATATTTCCTCCAGTATACTGTGAGCTCTGGTGTAACAAGGACATTTCTGGCTTTTATATGTGCTGAATAAATATTTACTGAATAAAATGAATAGGTAATGTCACAGGACGAGCATGCTACAGCTTCCTGGTATATATAATATTTACATTTTACTAAAAGATCCTTTTAGGGAGGGCAAAGATATGGTTTTATTTATTAAAGCAAAGAAATTTATTATGGAACAGAGTGCAAAATTCATATGAATTTTAAAGCTAAACAAGACTTCCAGAATGTTTCTGGCTACACTCCCGATTTTTCTAGAGCCATTGTGCTTAAAATAATATAGAAACACTGTGTGGAAAAGATCTGTTTCCCAAAGGATCAGGATAATCAAGGGTTATCTTTGTTTTAATAGGTAAGAATAAGTGTATGAAGAGGACTTTGTCAATATAAGTTTACGTGCCAAAACAACTTTATTATTATTGAGAACTCTTTCCTGAAATGGGGGAACGATTAAGCTAACACATCGCCAATTACAGGTGGAGCTGGCTCCAGAACCCCTGCCTCCTGGGGCCTGTCCAGCCCACTGCTTTTCATTAAAGCTCAGCACCTGCCACCTGGTCCCTGCTGCAAAGGGTCCCCACCCTCCTGATCTAGAAGCCATATCTGGGGCAGAAGGCCTGTGCCAGGCCCAAAGACACTTTAAATTCTGATCGACCCAAACTGAGAAACAAGTAGGAAAATCAAGCTGAGCCTTTCCCGGCAGCATAATCCAGAGCCTTTCTGCTTTCCCTGGTGGGACTGGGCAGTTCCCCTCCTGGGCTGCAAACCCGGCCAGCTTTGCTGGAGCCCAAATCCGCACGACTCTCCCCCTTGCGGCGAAAATGTGCAATGCAGTGCGTTCCGGAGACAGTGTCAATCTCCTTTTTGAAGTACAGGCAGTATTTTAAGGGACCTGAGAAGCGGGAAAGCTCGGGAGTAACTTCCCGTAGGAGTCGGCGCTGAAGCCCGGCTTCGTGGTCCTCAGGGTGGTCACTTCCTACGTGCAGAGTTTGACCACAGCTGCTGGTTAGGAACCTTGGCCCTCCCCGCTTAGGCTGCTGCAGAGAAGGGTGGAGGTGCCTGTCAGTTCCCTCGGAAACGCAGCCCATTTCCTCCTCTGGGAGCCCGGCTGAGAGCTGAGGCATGTTTCGCCCGCCGGAACCCGGGTGCGAGGGGCGGGCGCACACCACGCGCCCACCCGCGCAGAAGCTGGGGCGCGGCGACCAGCAGCCCGTGGAGGACACTGGTGCCGCTGCCTCCGGCTCGCGCGCCGCGCGTGCACGCGGGTGGGCGTGGGAAGCAGGGGCGCTACTAGCACGCGGCGTGCGCGCGCCCTCACTCTCAGGCGGGCCCGGCCCGGCCCCGGCGCGCGTCACGAGGGGCGAGCAGGCAGGCGGGCGGCGGGGCGGGAGGGAGGGGTGAAGGGGGTGGGGCCGCCGGACCGGAGGGGCCCGAGCGGCTGCTGCGGAGCCGGAGCAGAGCTGGGCGAGGGCGGCGGCAGCGGCGGCGGCAGCGGCAGCAGCAGCAGGAGAAGATGGTGGCGCTGGAGGTAGGAGCGGCTGGAGCGGAGCTTTATTCCCAGGCTCCGYACCATCGCTGTCATTAGCGCCTACTGCTCCCGCGGGCCCGCGGACCCAGCTGTCAGGCAAGGTACCACCGACAGGGAGGGGTGGGTGCGTGGTGGTGCCCGGCGCTGATGCCGCCCCAGATAGGAGTCCTGGTCCTCTCCTAAGGGCGCTTCTGGGCGCAAGAGGCGCTGCATGGAACAATAGTGTGGATGAACAGAGACAGCAGGCTACATCCAGGGGGCAATGCCTTAGCCAGCGAGGCGGGGGAAGGGGACATTGGAAGAGAGATGTCTGGTGTCCGGTGCGCGCTGAGGTACCGGAGCTTTGGGGGCAACGAGCGGGCCTGATGACAATCATGGCAGGTGTGTGTGTGTGTGTGTGTGTGTGTGTGTGTGTGTGTAAGTACAGCAGAGGGTATGGGGGTGGTGGACCAGAGGTGTTGGGGAATGACATTTCCAGGAATCCCCACTAGGATCCTTCATATCTGGGCTGACTCTCGGGAAGAAAGAATGTGATGATGGAAACGGTGAGGTGGGCAGGATGCACTGGGTGTGCGAAGTGTTGAGGGAGGCAGTGGGGTAGAGGCGRGTTTGTAAAATCCCGTGGAAGTGTGCGTACGCGTGTGGTTGCATCCACGCTCCTAAAATTGMGCCCCAAATCAAGAGATCTGCCGGTGCCTAACCTCATGTCACCAGCTAACACTGTGGGACAGTGTTTGTTATTTTGACCCTGCAACTCTGAGTACAGTCTCTGTTCTGCTTTTGCGTGTGGATGGCCCAGAGTAGGAATTCTATCTTCCCCTTTCTCTGGCCTCATGACGTGGGGATGTGGAAGTGAGCGTGTGGCTTTGGGGCACATGGTAGGGAAAGAGGATAATGGTTACACCTTCTGGGCTTGCTAGTRTCCCTTGTTTTGAAGGGCTTCTCTCTTGATACTTCTCTCCTCAACTGCTCTTCTGTAAGGGTCTTGGACTCCCTGACTCTGCAGTTTCTATTGTTTATCTCTTGTCTAACCTGGGTCTCTAACTATAGATCACCTTCCTCTCCCCTTCCTCACAACTTTGAATGCCAACCAGACCTTGTCCTTCTACATTTGAACACTGAAATCCTATGGCTGAAGGATGGGTAGTCTTTGTGTTGGTTATTTCAGAATGAACTCTGGAGGTGTGTAGAGAGAGATAGATGGGGGAGGAGTAAAAAGGAAGAGAAAGATCTACTGAGAAATATTTGGTGTCCACTTTCTGAGCATCACACAGCCAAGGTGTTTCCCTTGGGAAATGGGATACTTTATTTCTACTGCTGGTAACATTCACTCTCCCACCTTTCACAATGGCTAGTTAGTACCGTGTATCATTGAGGAATTGTAATCCTTCGAGACTGTGGGGATGGGATCTCCGATCAGTGAAGTCCTTGCTTTTCTTCCTGATGTAGCACACTAGTAGGGAATTTAGTAAATGTCAGGCTTCCAGGCTGGGTCTGGGAGCCAGGACACAGAAATGCATACAGAGTCCATAGCTGTTTTAATTGTCTCTGCATGATAAAGATAGGCTTCTGTAGGGTCGGATGGATAGAAATAGGAAGGGAGATGGTAAATTCATGTGTGTCCACTGCAGTTTGACTCCTTGCTGTCTGTATTTCTCCTGCAGCACTCGTAGGAATGAAGGCACCTTTGTGCTTAATATCTTGTTACTTCTTTATTAAAATGTTGTATGACTAGATTAACCTGCTTAGGACACATTTTGGTCATAGCACCTAAATTCTACTGCATTGCTGTCAGAATCTAAACTGGCTGCTCTGGTTCTCTTTGAAGAAAGCTTGTAGCCATCGTGGTCTTTAAAAATAAATGCACAACACGTTGGCACCAAGGTTTCTTTAAAAAAATTGCTGTTTGTTTTTTGGCAAATATTGCATGAATTCATTGTTACATTGAAAATAATAAAACTAGAGCTATCCACATATGTTTCCTCCCCCCATTTATCTTCTCTTAATTAATGATGATATATAGACCAGGTGCTCTGGAAGCCATCAACATTAAGTAAATTTTCCCATGTCCTTCAAGTCAAGCCTTCTAAAATTTTAATGTGAGGTTGTTGGATCTCATCCAAAATTAAGGATAGATTTATAAAAATGAATTTTGAGTCTTAGTTCTTTACTCTCTTATTGTTTCTGCCAAACCTCTTTCTGAGAAAAGTACTTATGAAATTTAAAAGTCATTCTAAGAGGTTTTGGTTTWAAAAAAAGTCATCATTTTCATATTTGCAAGTAAAACCAGAGATGTAACCGTATTATAAGAAAGTTTAAGAATTTAGAAATTACCAAGGTAAATAACCTGTTTAGCAAACAAGGAATTATACAACAGCATGATTAATGACTCAGGAATTAGTGATTTCCTTTCTAATGTAAATGAGATAATTTTTAAAATGTAATGCCTGACTTTTTTAAAGATTGTGCTGGTAAGGCTAATGATATAGCTTGAATCTGTAATTCAGCCTGGTAAACGGTTATACCTGTGCCATAGCCTGCAGCAAGCTATTTGTTTTGCGTGGATACCCTTTCTTCACTTAAAATAGCATTAATGCTTTTTTCATTATTGAGTCTCTTTTTTAAAAAGTTTGTTTTTTTTTTTTCCTTTCCCAGAAGACATGGAAGTAAGACATTTGAAAATTGACCTGTGGGGCCAAAAGGAATAAACTATGGTCCCATGGGGGAAATCAGGCCTTTTTATCCTGAGAGGAACAAGTAATGGACAGAATGGCAATCAGTGGAAACAGACTTCCTTTTCAATAAACCTGGTGGAAAGAAAGACTGGAGGAGAGAATGATAAGTCAAAGAGATGTCACAGTAGAGGGAAAGGAATATGTTTAGTATAGAGGACTCGAACCTACTGTAGAAGCTGAGGAGAAGAATCATTGAGAGGGAGAGAGATGGAGAATGTAAGGGGGAGGCTCAACTGATGAAGTCTTCGAGAAGATGGGCAGGAGGGTACTGGGGAAGGTATGACTTGAGACAGAGGCAGAGGAATTTTGAGGTGGAAAGAAAGGAATTTGTTCATAGTCTTTTAAGGAACATCAGAAAAGATGTGGCAGGTTGAGGCTAGGAGTAGAATGTCAAAGACTTGTGTGCATTGTAGAAATTTGGCAGTGAATCCATTGGGGTGATTAAAAGATTATCAGCCAGCTATGAAGACTGCTTGTGTTTGAAGAGCATGAATTTGTAGTAGAACCAATTAGTGCTATATAATTAGGGTTTGACAATTACTTAGGTAGTTTTTGTAATAGTATTTAATGTTGCTACATTCAGAGGTTCCCTCCTTCCCTTAAACTCAGAGAGGAAAATGTTACCTTTAAAATAATTTGAATAAAAGACTGCACTTGAAAAATTTCATATGCATATTTTCTCTGAGGAATCTGAGTTAAATGAATAAGGCTTATAATAAAATAATGGGGGAAAAGATAAATATTTCTAAAAAGATTAACTTTCCCCATCTAATTATAAACTGTGGCTTTCATAATAAATTGTAAAGTTGATTTTTTCAAAAGAAAAATCAAATATAGAATCTCACTTAGCACCATACTGATCATATATATTTTTCACATGAATACATGAATAAATTATTTTAGTAAGCTAGGTGTAGGGTCTGAAATCTGAAATCTCAGGATTTCTTATTTATATAATGAACATTGAATGAGTCACATTCCATGGCTTCTATAAGTTTATGATATTATTAAAATAGTTTTATTGATTTATACCTACTATGTATGTTGAAACTTGTCCAAACAGATAAACACACACACACACACACACACACACACTTTTCTTCCCCACAAAATAATTGTGTCCACTTTAGACCCTTGTGACCCTTGTGTTATGGGGTTGTGTCATGATTCCAGATGAGTTTATAGAACTTCAACTGCAGTGCATGATAATTTTGAAGTTCTGATGACAAATTTATTTCTTCTTTTTTTTTTTAATTTTTTTTTAATGTTAAACRAGTATTTATTGAGCACCCTCTTTGGGCCAGACACTATTCTAGATGAAAGGAATACATGCAATGTTGGGGAGAGGTCCCTAATATAACAGAGCTTTTAGTGGGAGAAGATGAAAAATAGATAAGCAAGTATATAATGTGTCAGGTGGTACGAGCTATGAAGACTAAAACAGGAAAAGCAATAGGGTGGGACATTGCATAGGGTAATGTTATTTTATGTAGGGTAGTCAGGGAAGGCCTTAAGCAGAGGGAGCTTAAGGATTTGAAGGAGTGAGACATGCAGCTACTTGGGATAAAGGTTCTCTAAGTGGAAAGAATATTCAGAGTGAAGGGCCTGAGGTAGGAACATGCTTGATGTGATCAAGGGATAAGGAAGCATCCCAGGTTCACCTGGACGTGTGGTACCTTACTGCACAGATGGAACAGTCACTTAGGACATCTATGAAAAGATGCTTTGCCTTTTAGTATTGAACTGGTCACCCTTCATGCTGTATCACCCCCCACCATATTTAGGATGACCTGTGAGGTAGAATAGTGTTTAGAAAAGAATGAATGTTTTCAACCAAACAGATTAGCATTAGAAAACTTGAAGAGTGACTCCAAGTGGTGACTAAATACTAGTCAGTTAGAAGTAGTCCCTCTCCTTGGAATTTCCACATCATTCTTTCATGGTCTGAATCTTTAAATGTAAGTTTCTTGTCTTCCTCCATGTTTCACATTCTATTCTCAAGTGTTAACATCCTTGAGGCTAGAATTCTGCTTTGTTCATCTGGGTATACTTTACAACACACAGAAAAACTCTTTGCGGTGGTAAGAGATTAAATACTTACTGAAAGGAATGGACTGAAAGGAATGGAGGAGACATTCCAAAAGTTTTAAGGAACATGGATGCAAAAATTGAGGGTAATTTTTTTTTTTACCTTGACTTCTGCAGACAGCTACTAAATGTTCTCCAAAGAAGACCCAAAGTCACCTCATGATGCTGATGTGGTGGATACATACAGAAGTGATTCATACATGCAACCCTGAAACGAGGATTTGGGTCCACATAGTTTATTGGGGAGGCAAGTTCAAGAAGCACAAGTGCAATTGTGA